TGTAAGGGCCAAGGTTATATCCTTTAATGTTTACTTAGCCTTCAAGCTTTCAGACTAATCACCATATTTCTGTTAGGGCAAAAATAAAGTCAACATAAGAAAAAGGACATATTCACAAAACTATTCCAGCCAGGCAATGGCTTGTTCTTGATGTCATTTTCAATGTTCAAGTGTACCTATGTCTATGGGGGGTTCTTTGATTGAAAATTCAAAGGGACACAATCAAATGCATTTGAACAAAGCTGAATTGAACAAACAGCCTTGTGACAAATTGGCAGCAGTCAATCTGGATATAATCAAATAATTTAAGTTCCTGATTTTAAAGAACCTCTGCTGTTGTTTTTTTTTTTCTATTTTCTATTGCTTTTATTATTTAATTTATCTTAAATATCAGTTTATTTAATAAAGCAGTTAATTTTATTATACCTTTGGACTTCATCTTGAATGTTCCATTGGAGCCTGGACACAATTTCTTTAGTTGGAAAAATACCACCTGAGCACTGTGAATTGAGCAAAACCTAATTTTTTTGCTCTTTACTTGTGAGTACCTCTCCAATTTTTCATTGATGTACATCAATATCAGTGAGCACATTATTTTTTGTTTTCTATATTTACTACTATTCATTTAAAAGGCAGTGAGACACCCAGTAGTCAGTAGACTCAATGTATAAGCTTGATAGAAATTTTTAAATCCTATTCCCTCTTCTTTATCTTTTAGTGGTAGCTTCCCTTTGGCTGTAGTTACAGATCCACCAACTCCCATTCGCAGTAACAATGATGCTTTATTTATAAGATATGTCTAAAAAACAAAAATGAAAATAGAATAAAAAGTCCTTACAGTCTCTTTAGTAGCAAATGTGTTTCACCTCTCCTGGAGGCATCTTCAGTTGCTGTATAGGTGTCCATAGTTTGTTGCTCCTTTTAAATAGTTCATAATTGCCATAAAAGCACACTATGCTTAGTGAAAACCACCTGTGGTTTGTTATCTTATTTTAAAATTAGATTTTGTGTATTAGTTAATGAGGTTTTTATACTTTTCCCATTCATGATATAGGCAACAAGAATCCTCTAATAATAAAAGCCAACAAAGTCATACATTCCACAAGCGATTTTATTTCCCCTTTAATTCCATATTCATGGTAAGTGGCATTATCAATAACTATTACTAAAAACACTTTTCTATTCATATGAAATGCATGAAATGTTTAATAGCATACTACAGATGCAGTTTCCATCTTGACAGAAATACAAAACCACAGATTGCATTATAAGGCATTGTGAGTACACTGAATATATAAATAATTTAGAATGCAGTAAAAAGTACAAATTCAAAAGATGGTTTTAATAGCAGTCCTCCTGTGACCACAGTCACTGAATCAAACACTTCTCTTATCTGAGTAGCTGTTCAGAAGAATTATAAAAAATACTGAGCTGCGATTTCACATAGATGTGCAGACTTATACATCTCTTATTTTCATTTGTGCTTTCCTTCTTTCCTTCCTTCTTTTCTTTTTTCCTTCTTTCCTTCTTTCTCAAAATCCTAAGGGTAATCTTGCAAAACTGTGAAACATTGGCAATTTAAAAAAAAAAAAAAATCCCATATTTGTTTTCATTTTTAAAAATTTCTATTTATATAAAATCATTAAATAATATAGGATTTGTTATGTGAGTTCTCATCATTTTCATCACCATAATTTGTGTAAATTTTGTTATAACCCTCCGTGAGGCCAAAGGAAAAAGACAAACTCGGGTTAATATATTGGAACTACAATACATGTCACTGTAAAATTGAAACACAATCAAAACGACTTTATTAACTGTAAAGAATTGTTTATGTATTCTAGAGTGGCTAAACTCTTACATAAATGGACATATTTATTTAAAGGTTTCTGTTTTTGAAATACGTTAATGCCCTGGGTGGCTAGCACTAGTAACCTTGAACAGGCTTAGATCAATGAACGATGTGGCTGAAAAACCATCTACAGAAATGAAGATTAGCCAGGGAATAAAATCATATGGAAAATGATGGGAATATGTTCCATTGCACCTTTTATGACATACTCAAGATGCTACAAGAGCTGAAGAAACTGAAATGCAATTATAACATCTGAAGAATGTGATGACATTTATTCTTCTTATTTCTAGGTGAGATATTACAAGAGGAAAGTGTATATGGAGCATATTTCTCTTACAGTAAAATGATTAAGAGGCTTACGTACAAAAACAAACAGTAATTTCAAGTTATATGCCCTTATAAATTGTATGCATAGTGTGACTTAAGTTGTGTACTGAAGTATGTGCATCAGCCAGATGAGCTATCAATGAGTTGCTCACAAAGTGCTAACATAAAAAAATTATATTTATATCTGTATCCTTTAAACATGTGTGTGTCAATGCATTCATAAATATTTTAATGAATAATAGTGAAACATTAGAAATGACAAGATAAAGGGAGACAATACATATATTAACAGTAATTTGCTAAGTCTGATCACATTATTATTAACAATAATAATAATAAATAATAAATAATAGTAGTAGTGATAATAATACATTAATATTTAACCTAGAGAAGGTACAATTGTTACTAGTTTCAATCTCAATCAATCAATTTCGTTCAGGTTGGACATAATTAACATTTATAATGTTGATGAGTTAATTCCATATTATGGTTAGGAACCAAGGCTATTCACTAACTATCTTTTAGAAGGTAGTTGGTACCGATGGACAGGTTAGGCCTGTTAATAACAAGGACCAAGGTAGGGGATGGAATAATAGAGTTATAGTGTAATGGTTGGGTTTTGGCCAAAGCACTCACAATCTTCAGATTTTTACCATGGGTGTTTTAAAGGTCAGTTAACACCTATTTCAGCGTCAGGCCTTACGACCTGAACATTTGTGTTCAGGAACCAAAGTCATGCATAAAAACCTATATGCCTATGACAAAGTCAGAACTGATGGCCAGGACAGGCTGGTAAAAATCATACTACAGAATGCTCAAGGTATCCCTTGAAAAGATAAAGGAATATATCTTGCAAAAACAAGAAAGTAATAATTTCCATAACGCATTTCACCGCATAGGGCTTTATCATTTATGATTGCTTACATTTGATAAAGCCCTATGCCATGAAATGTGTTATGGAAATTATTACTTTCTTGTTTTTCATCTAATAAAAGATTTTTGGTCACTATACCTGTGTACTGTGCCAAATTACCTTTTGCTTTAGATTCAAAGAGACAGTGTCAGACTTAGTGTCAGATTACCAAAAAATATAGTCTACCTATACACAGCTCAAGTACAAGAAAGAAGGTACAGTGCTTGATAAACCTATACAATCAGTCTATCAGAGGAGGGACCCGCCAAGCATACCCTAGATTTACCAGCCTCTCCATAGATTACAAGACAATTCTAAAAAGTTTTTTTCTCCCGTTATATTATCTATATACCACGTTTTGTTTTTTTGTCTCAGTGTATCCTATTCTTATCAGAAGATAATTGGCAGACAGTATTTTATATTTGTATATATGTTGTATATATTTTATTTTGTGTTGCACTTTAGACTGATTGTATAGGTATATCAAGCACTGTCCTTTCTTTCTTGTACTTAAGCTGTGTATAGGTAGAGTATATTTTTTGGTGATCTGACACTAAGTGTTTTATACTCTGTCTCTCCATTTTTATAGTGGTGGGCAAACCATTGAATAGAAATATCATCATACCTTTGATGTCTTTACACAGGATAGATGAGTACTATTTCCAATTTTATTAAGTGGTGGCAATAAATTTATATTCACTTACACTTTCTTTCTTGAGTGTGGTATCATTTGGTTGTTTTGTATTCCTTTTTTTATTCTGAACTATTTCATTTGATTACTGACAAAGGTATTTTATTGCATTCTTGTGGTGCAACATCTTTGTTTTTGTTTATTTCTGTTGATTCTGAAAAGGGTTGGAGAGATCCCTTTATTTTTGCTTTGCTGTCCTGCCTTATCTGGTTGATTAGTGCTAAACCTGCTCTATCTTTCATAACCAATAGAAAGCCTGAAAAACCTATTTGGTATTGGGATCAAAAGTGGACTTGTCGAGTATATCAGATAATGTCATGAACAGTGGCTCATTTATTGGTAGTCATTCTGTGTGTAGTTTATACCCTAATTTCCTGGATAGAAAATAATCCAGGTAGTGCACCATCATTGGATGTCTATATGAGTTCTGTAACACAACACAGTGTTTTTGTGCCTATATTAAATAATAAGGTTACTTTATGCCACTAAAGTAAGTCTTATAGCAAAGTAATACATTGTGATAAGGTGAATAGGGTGGTCTGTGAGGGAGTTTATATTTCGACTGAATTGTTCAGAGAGGCAAATGATTTTTAACCCCAGGGGGAGTGTATGTGTCTGTGTGTATATAACTTAAATTAATATTTAGTTATGGGCCCCTGGGGTGGAGCATTTGGAGAGCAGGGTGGGCCAGTGCTCCACTCCACTGTTTATTGTTTTGTTCCTGGGAGACTAGGTCCAGACCAGGGTTTGGACTGTCTCCAACCCACTGCTCAGCTACAGGTAATCAGCTGCAGCAGTGGGAATAAACCCCTCCCTGGTAGGCAGATAGGAGAGAATGTTTGTTTCTCTCTGGAAGGCTGGAAGCAGCAGGCTGACTAAGCACTGGAGTGCAGATAGCTGACAAAGACATTAGGTCGGTGAAACCAATATTGTTTTGTTATAGTTTAACCCCTGAGAGATAGGGAATCTGATGTTAGTAAGTGGTCAGACAAGCTAGGTTTTTGTTTATAGGGCTTTGTGTTACATTATTGTTTTTTTTTTTCATTTGCTGCTGTCTCTGTGGTGAAGCTCAACAATAAAGTGCCTGGAATTAAGTTACTTTTAAAGACTGTGCATGTTTGTACCCAAAATGACTGTGCTAACTGCAGACAAGGATCACAACATATATCTCCATTTCACACCATGCAGATACCACAATGATGGGTGTACTGGGAGGAGTTTAAAAACATTTGTGATGTCCATCTTGTTACACCAAGTTCCTTGCCTACAGACATGATGGCTTGTGTAGCATGGTCTGGTGACGCATGCTGTAATTAAAAGTCTTTAGACGGCATAAGAAAAACGAGGCTGGGATTTAAAGAACTGTGACATGCAGACCTATCAAATATCAATCTGTCTTGTTATTGTAGTTGCCCATGGCAACTCCTACCAGGTTAGCTCTCCAAATCGAGAGCATTTTTAAAATAGCTGCAAACTACAATTTCACATAATAATTTCATATTGATTTGTATTGTGTTTTTAAAAAAAAAAAAAAAAAGAGAGAGAGAGAGAAAAAAATATAAGCAAAAAAGCAACAAATGTGGCTGCACTCACAGACTTTAATAAAATATTTTCTTCTTTATTATTTCATATTAAAATGATCGCTGTTTCAGTCCCTCATGAGGACTTTCCTCAGGATCAAGACATGAATAATGGTCTATACACATTAAGATATATACATACATAATTACAAACATTAGTGAAATATGTGTGATGATCTAACTTACGCCAGGTGACGTGAAATGCCTCCAGCGTTCAGCCGAGTGCCGGACACATACGTGGAGTGACTCCGCCCCTCTAATGATAAGTGCCTTCCCATAGCAACACCTAAGTGAAGTGAGAAGACTTCGGTGGGTTGCCAAGTGCCAGGCGCATGTGTGACTTGGCTCCGCCCCTTAGTAACTACAAACCGGCGAGGTAGCATGCAGTGCGTTCCTATGGCAACGCTAGTAAACAAAACATAGCGAGATCGTGAATGGTGATGAGTGGACAACTGTATATCCACTTATTATAAAGTGTAACTTGACTAATAAGAAACGAATGAATTAAAATTGCATTGATAGCTATAAATATATAAACAGTGCCTAATAACAGTGATATGCACTGATGGATAATGCGAATACAGTCACTACATGTAAAGTGAACATTAAAATATTTAACCCCTTAAGGACCAAACTTCTGGAATAAAAGGGAATCATAACATGTCACACATGTCGTGTGTCCTTAAGGGGTTAAAGTGGTCGCTGCGTATAAAGTGATTATAGCAGTACTATTAAAGTGACTGGGCATACAAAATAAGGTGAACTAAGTGCTGTTATGTGCAAAAAAAATGATTTAAAGTGCTATTAAAGAGCTAAACACAATTAAGTAGTGAACAATAACAAATAATAATATCTCATATGCCTAAGAAAGTGTCATATATAATTAGCTAAATCCATACAGCAGTAGGGTTCTCAATTAATTGTAAACCTGTCACATTGCAATGGGATTTGTAAAGACAATTACTTTTTGGGTTAATTATCAAATTTTTAGTTCAAACAAGAAACTATAATAAACACTGCCTTGTCTACTATAATGTAGCTTCTGAATAAAGAATAAGAAATATTTTCCACTGTGACTGGGAGATATCCCACTGCTGTAAATTAATTTTATCAAAGTACTATCAAAAATATTGCCCCTTGTTCGCACAAGGCTGGAAACAGCCTTGTGCGAACGAATAAGAGGACACAGATCCAGCATAAGACTTGCTTATAGGGACGGCAAATCAGATAAACCTGTGGCAAAACATTTTTTACAACAAAATCATCCATTGTCGATGCTGAAATTTACAGGAAATGATCATGTACCAATTAGGCATGTGCATGGGGAAAGGTTCGGTTCGGCATTCCGGGACTTCGGCAATTCAACACTTTGGAACTTCGGCACTTTGGGACTTTTGCAGCCGCTTAGTAGATAACTCCCTAATTCCCACAGTATTAGGGAGTTATCTACCAAAAGGCTGAAAAAACTAAATTGGTCTTTCAGACAAATTTATTAATACAAAGTAAAAATTACTCAGTATTAGTATATTTTGCAAATAGGGTCCCCCCTCCCGAGCCCCCACCTGCGACGCGCGAGTGGGGGCTTTTAAACTAAGCCTCCCCTGCCCCCACCCCTGAGCGGCCGGTGGGGGCCCTAAAGTAAAATGATGGGGGGGACCTATTGTCCTCCCCCCGGTCCCCACCCCTGAGTGGTGGGTGTGGGCCCTACATACTAATAAGGGGGGGACCTAATTTCCTCTCCCCTGGCCCCCACCCCTGAGTGGTGGGTGGGGACCCTAAATTGGAATAAAGGGGGGACCTAATGTCCTCCCCCCGGGCCCCCACCCCTGAGTGGTGGGTGGGGCCCTAAATTGGAATAAGGGAGGGGACCTAATGTCCTCCCCCCCGGCCCCCACCCCTGAGCAGCAGGTGGGGGCCCTAAATACCAATAGAGGGGGACCTATTGTCCTCACCCCCGGCCACCACCCCTAAGCAGCGGGTGGGTAGGTCCCCCCCTATTGATATTTAGGGCCCCCACCCACCTCTCAGGGGTGGAGGCCAGGGGGGAGGACATTAGATCCCCCCCTTATTCTGATTTAGGGCGCCCACCCGCCACTCAGGTGTGGGGGCCCAGGGGGAGGACAATAGGTTCCACCCCCCATTATTTTACATTAGGGCCCCCACCCGCGGCTCAGGGGTGTGGGCCCGGGGGTTGGACAATAGGTTCCCCCCATTATTTTACATTAGGGCCCCCACCCGCTGCTCAGGGGTGAGGGCCGGGGGGGGGCAATATGGGGGACTTTTTTTTATTATTATTTTTTTTTTTTTTAAAGTGAGCAGCCCCAGGCTGCTCACTGTTTAATAGACATAATCTTTACTTAGTATTAGTAAATTTGGCTGAAAGACCAATTTAGGTCTTTCAGCCTTTTAGTAGATAGCTCCCTAATACCGTGGGAATTAGGGAGTTATCTACTTATTCATTCCTGTCATTACATTGACAGGCTAAGTAACTTACATTTTATATGAACGTATGTTACCTGATTGTTGTAAGTGTTGCAAATGCTTACAGCTGAATCCTGGCTATGTTTGTATACTTTTAATTTAAAATTGTATACAATGTAACATTATTCTTCTTTCACTGGGTAAGTATATTAGTACTTAGGCAATACTGTACTTTGACACTTCGGAAATTCGGTAATTTCTGAACTTCGGGACCTCGGCACTTTGGCAATTCGGACATTCGGAAGTACCCGAATGTCAGAATTTCCCGAAATTCGGCCGAATTCATATTTGGACTGAAACTAATTGCACATGTCTAGTACCAATGCCATTGAGAGGAGGTGATCGGGGCAAGCTGCTACTGAACCGCGAAGGGTTTTGGATCTATGAACTGGGCACTCTACAACCTATGGGACTAAATGAAACAATACCTTTTTATTATTTTTTTGTTGTGTCTGACAGGAATCATTCCTCATTAGCCTGCTTGCTGTTTATTGATACTAGACAAATTAATTAATTAATTTTGACCAAAGGAGGTTTTTAATTGATTTTTTTAAAAATATTCTAGACAATATTTTTGATAATACTTTGATAAAATTAATTTACAGTAGTGGGATATCTCCCAGTCACAATGGAAAATATTTCTTATTCTTTATTCAGTAGCTGCATTATAGTAGACAAGGCTATGTTTGTTATAGTTTCTTGTTTGAACTAAAAATTTGCTAATTAACCCTAAAAGTAATTGTCTTTACAAATCCCATTGCAATGTGACAGGTTTACAATTAATTGAGAACCCTACTGCTGTATGGATTTAGCTAATTATGTATGATATATGACACTTTCTTAGGCATATGAGATATTATTATTTGTTATTGTTTACTACTTAATTGTGTTTAGCCCTTTAATAGCACTTTAATCCATTTTTTTGCACATAACAGCACTTAGTTCACCTTATTTCGTATGCCCAGTCACTTTAATAGTACTGCTATAATCACTTTATGCGCAGCGACCACTTTAAATATTGTAATGTTCACTTTACATGTAGTGACTGTATTCGTATTATCCATCAGTGCATATCACTGTTATTATGCACTGTTGATATATTTATAGCTATCAATGCAATTTTAATTCATCCGTTTCTTATTAGTCAAGTTACACTTTATAATAAGTGGATATACAGTTGTCCGCTCATCACCACTCACAATCTTGCTATGTTTTGTATACTAGCGTTGCCATTTGAACGCACTGCATGCTACCACGCCGGTTTGTAGTTACTAAGGGGCGGAGCCAAGTCACACATGCGCCTGGCACTTGGCACCCCACCGAAGTCTTCTCACTTCACTTAGGTGTTGCTATGGGAAGGCACGTAACATCATTAGAGGGGCGGAGTTACTCCACGTATGCGTCGGGCACGCAGCTGAATACTGGAGGCATTTCACTTCACCTGGGGTAAGTTAGATCATCACACATATTTCACTAATGTTTGTAATTATGTATGTATATATCCAAATGTGTATAGACAATTATTCATGTCTTGATCCTGAGGAAAGTCCCCATGAGGGACTGAAACATCGATCATTTTAATATGAAATAATAAAGAAGAGAAGATTTTATTACAAGTCCGTGAGTGCAGCCACATTTGTTGCTTTTTTGCTTGGATACATTGAGCCCTGACTGGCACCCGGCATTTATTTAAGTGTACAGCTTGAGTGCAAGGATATTTTCTGTTTATATATATATATATATATATATATATATATTCCACATGGCTTTTTACAACAGCGCCTTTTTCTTCTTCCCTACCATTCTGCTGGTGCTGATTGTGTTTTTTTCATTGTGTGTATTTTATCAGTAAAATGTGTATTGGATATTAAAACAATGTAAAAGTAAAAGTAAAAGTAGTGCAACTTAATTTACAACTACATTGTCAGTTCACCTGAAGTATTTATGTATTTAATGGGTCAACAGTAAAAACACCTTCTCTGTGCACTGTGAATTGGATCGTCTGTGAACAAAAGCTTCTTCGGCCTTTAACATTTTTACAATGTGCAACTGTATCATTTATAAGATTTTTTTTTTTAATAGAAAGGAAAAGGTTATGTAGCAAAAATGCCGGCAGTTTTCTTTATAATGTTTTTTTGGAAAAAAATCAATGTTGGATCTTTTTATTTTTATGGCATCTGTTTTTTTACTCCATGAACTACAAATTCTTCTTTATTACATACTTTCAGATGTGTAGCGTGTGGGGGGGAGGGGTGAGAAGAAGGGCAGCCAACACCGGACGCGGATCCATTGGTTGGGATGCCTTGACAGCATCAGCATTGGACTGTCTCTTACACTAGTGTACTGACAAGACAAGATAATCATATGA